TTTTTTATGTTTTTTTGGGTTAAAAAAAAATTAAAAATATGAATAGGGGTTTTTTTTTGGGGGGGGGGGGGGCAACCCCTTTATAGGAGTTTCCAACTGAAGCACATGAAAGCGCTGCTGAAAGATGATGATACTGTGGGACATTCACAAAGATGTCAGGTCTGCCATGCAAGAGACAGTGCAGATCAGGGAAGCAATATAAAAAGTGGACTCATTTTGAACAAAACAAGAAAAGGGTATCAGAGCCAAAGGGGACTGTCACCAGAGTAAGAAATTATCCTGCCATTTTAAGATTGTTGGTAAAATAATCTGTTCTTAATGATCTGTACAGTTAAGGCCTTCTCTAATTAGTCCAATTATAAACAATGTTCAATGGGATTTTTCTTTAAGCCAAGCCTCATTGCCACTTGAAATTGGACTTAAAAGATAAGGCTATTATCTTTCCTCCATTGTCAGTAGGAAAGCACTGATGGATGTTCTAGCAAGTCCCAATAGACAGTGGCTGAGCTCTGAAACAAGCAGGACATGGCTGAATGCAACATGTGAGGATGCAAACACCTGCAGCTTGAGAGAACAACGATCAGTAAGTGACCTGCAGAAGCTCTGTAGGACTGAAGGGGAGGAGCAAAGCACCAGCTGATCCCCGAAAACAATGAGAAAACCAGTAAAGTGTCCTGAAAAACACTCAACTACCACCATGATATTTTGTGATGGTGGGAATCCAGAAACCCTTAATCAGATGCATCCTGTAAAACGAAGATTAAAAAGTTACTTGTCAGAGCTCCTGTTGCTTATAACTGTACAAATGGGGGAACTGGCTGTGGTCAGACCTTGGGTTCTCACTGCTTCTCAGACTTCAGGAGCAGCCCAAAGAAGTCACCTTGCAGCCATCCCTGAATTCAAATGTTGCTCAGCATCTTTACATTTCAGACTAGCTATTTATATGCCTCACTACAGTGTTAATGCGGTTATTTTTTAAAAGACAGAATTGATAACCAACAATAGAAATTAATGACACTGATGTACCATCAGCTCTAATGGTATTCTGGATGGAGAAGCTCTCTAAAATCAACACCTCTGTAATAGCAGGCACCTCTTTTCATTTTAAGCATTACCAGTGTTAATTAGGCCTTCGTTTAGAAGACTCCACACCAATTCTAGTTAGAGCTTCTTGGTTTAATCATGCTGGTGTTTGCTATTGAAACTTGCCCTCCAATTTAGAAACAATTCTGCATCTTCTCTGACTTACTGGTTTATTGTAAAGCTGTAGGAAAGATTCAGCAGTAAATCAGGCTCACCCTTGACAACACAGGATTACTGGGAAGGGATTTCAACCAGAAAGATGTCAATAATTAAGAAAGCCAAAAGGGCATGAGTAATTTAGTTTTGAAAAATGCACAGCATGCAGTTAGCCAAGTAAAAAACATGTACTTTTAATGTTTCAGCTACTGCTAATCTTTCCAAAAGAGGCCATGCATGGTAAGAGACGATCTTTTATTCTTAGTATGTTGCTTAACCTATTACCCACTGAAATACTCACTAAATATAATGCATCTTTATTCTTGGGCATAAAGGTGAGTCAAAAGGGTATCCAGAGGAAAAAGTGACAGCTACAGAAGACCTAGTAAAAAAAAATGGGCCACTGAATGGGCAAATCAGTACTGAAGGTCCCTGGACCCAGGTTCTGCAGGTTGATTTCGCATCTGTTCTATCCCCTTGGTGCTTATCTGCTACCTTCTGATCCAACCTTGTTGACATGTTGGGATGAAAAGGAGTAGTGCTGGGGTTTTGAAGTGCAAAACACCGAGATGTGGAACATTAACAGGAGGTTCTGATCGCACTCTCTAGTGATGGCCCACATCTTCCTCTAAGGATGCCACCACTATTACTTCCTAAGGGCACAACAAGTGACCCTCTTCCCTTGATCTAAGAAGAAGAATATACTTTTTTCTCCTAATTTAAATGAAGTCAAGCATGCTTTACTGATGCTAAGCAATGAGAGAAAACTAACTACCACTGAAAAATCCAGTGATCTATAAACAGGGGTCCAAGGGCAGCTATCAGTTGCTGCATTACACTGAAGACGAAAATCTCCTTATTTAAACTGTGGACATTTCCTTACTGTTAATATTTTTTTGTCTATTCAAAGTTTTTCCCTATTTGTGATTGTACCTGAACCTGCCTTTAAGCCTCAATGGAAACAAGAGGGAAACACTGGATTGTAAATTCATCCAGAGCAGTGAAGTCAGTAGGGCTACCGTGTTTCTTGTCACACCACGAGAGCCCTGTATGGCAGAGACTTCATTTTAACTGTTCACCGGACAAATATTTTGGCATACCTGTCCTTCTTCATCACCCTCTCACAGCTGCTATTTCTGATTGCTCACAACCTGAAAAGGAGGGTAATGCTATGGAAGAAACTAATTTGTTCAACCTGATTTTTTGGCTTGTTTAACCAGGAAACATATGATGCTGCGTGGTGTCAGTACTGTGTTGTTGTTAGTGTCAAATCAGCCATGTAGAAAGATATTTGTGTCCAACTCAATCATATTTATTGTCAGGTTGTTGTATTTAACTAGATGTGTGCTATTTCAATATTTTTAGAAAGCTAAGTGCATTGCGGAAATGTCTATGCCTATATAAAAGTCCTAGATTAATTTAGCTCATTGCTCTGATTAATAAACTGAGATTTTTTTAAGACAGCAGATTACCTCTATTCTGTAACAGTTCAGTTCCTTTTCTTCTTCGTTGAAGAAAGACCTGGGTCCTAGACTTGCTTTACATTTACAAATAGGAACGTGGGGTTGGATTTTGTTGTAGTATACATTAATGCAACATTACTAATTTCAGTAGATTTTTGCAGATTTATACAACCAGAGGATTTGAGGTCATAACATTTTTGTATTAAGAAAAAAAAAATATATCATTACTCAAAGTTCCCATGTAAGACTTTGCAGTCATGGATCAAAAACATGAAGACTCCACACAGAAAGTGCACTCACCTGCTTATTACAAAATGGATCATAGACATTTAATTAAAACACATCACTGTACAGGGCTCCTGCTGTATTCACAGACACTTTTGTTTCCTCCTGACTTGCCTTACCTGAGTAGGAGGAGTGAGGATGAGAGATGGTCTGGAAGGGAAGGCAGGGAAAAGGGGACGGGTAGGAACACTGATACGATGTTAACACAGGGTCACAGCACTTACGGAGGTCTTTCCTGCCTAAATGACTGGAAAGTTCACCCTTCCAGACATTAGGGAGCACTTTGGTGACAATGAGGAAGAGATGCAACCTCAACACAGCATGTTCACGGTGCATTTTTTTAAAAGAAACACAAAGACAATAGGAAAAATAGGAAGGAAGAGCATACCTTTCACTACCTTATCCAGATAGTGAGCTTGGGAGATAAAAGACAGGACATTTAAGGTAGGATTGAATAAGTGCATTGCGGCTTACTACGAGACTGTGCAGGTGCTAGAAAGGCAAAGGAGAGTTCGCTGTGATATGAAAAGAAAAACCTTGATTATGAGGAGAGAAAAAAGGAAGAAGGATTGGAGCACAGCCCTCCTCAGTCAAAGAGCTCAAGAAGGCTGTGTTAGGCATCCAGTCATCTTTGCTTATTAAGATCAGGAAGAGAAACAGGAAAGTTTCATATATATATTTATGTGTTTATATACATATATATATGTATAAATATATATAAATGTATGGCAGAATATTGTAATTCTCTGCTCATTTGCAACAGTCTACCTCTGTTTTACTGACTGCTTTTCTTTTCATCAGGAAAAACAGAGTCATTTGAAAGTGCTCCACCTCGCCTGATTGTCTTATATTTTTCCGCACAAAGAGGCACAGTTCTGTGACCTTACCAGACTGGGAGAGGCTTTTCCCTGGATCTTCTTAATGGTAATGCATTGCATTTATACAGCATCCTCTAGCCTCAGATCAAATTACTTTACAAATATTAAATTAACCTCATGGCAGCTCTACCAGATAGGTAAGTATTAATATACTCATTCCAAGGAGGGCTAAAGAAAAAAAAAAAAAGTAAGTTATAGATGTAGTGGGAGCAGTCACGTGCCTGATTCCCATGGAACATTAATTTGGAAAACCACCTTCTAATCGATTTTCTGGGGTCGAACAGAAAGTTGGTGGCAAAGACGCAAGCAGAAGCCAGGAGTCCTGCCTCGGAGAGCCCTTGCGCGTGCCAGCAGGCGGCACTCTCTGTCCTAACAGCAGCTGGGCTTTATTAATAAACAAGAGGCTCCGAGTCTTGCATTTCTCTCTTTCATTACCTGCTTAAACATTATTTCCCTTGTTCTCTTGTCTGCTCCCTTCAGTCTCTCTCAGTTGTGTCCTGGTACCCTTTTGAAGACTTTTTGTTTCAGGTTCGTTCACGCAGACCGCCACCTGGGAGGTCACAGCCCTTCCAGGAATTATTTTTCCGTCCTGTGAATCTAATGGATCCGTCGAAGCACTATTGTAAGTCAGTGGAGAGGGCTGGGAGGATCAGAGCTAACCTAGTGTGGGGCAGTTATGAGGCTTGGGAATGAGATTAACTAATCAACCCAGTGTAGTGGTAGTGATGCAGGAAGCACGGCATCACCATCTGCTTGGAGGGTGGCTGAAGCCTGGGAACGTGTCGCTTGGATTTTGACATCCAGAGCAGCCCAGCCTGTACGTTTGGGCAGCAGTCATTGTGCAGATGATGGCAGTGGAGGCAGTTGCCAATGCCAACCATATGTCAGTTATGTGTCAATGTTTTCCTGTAATCTGAAAAACAATGGAGGCCTTCTATGGGAATATTCCATGGCAGCATAAATCTTTCTTCTCTAAACTTGTACAGTCTCATTCCCATGCTGTACTTCTGGCATTAAAATATCTTATTATCTACAGACACTCCTTTGGAAACCCTGTGGGCACGTGGGACGTGCTGAGGAATGATGTAGGGGCTCAGAAGAAAAGCTACTCTTCTAAGGTGTCCTCTACACCCAAAGGCACCGCACTCAGGTCCATGTCACCATGACCCTCCTGGAAGCCACTGTCCCTTCAGGACTGCTGTGAGGGGAGCTCATGTGAGCATTTTTCAGTCCGAAAGCCCTCTCATTTCACCTGCCTGAGCTAACCTGGTTTGTTTTGTCTGAAATACCTTGGGAAGGATAACATGAGCACTTCTCTTCGTTCATAGAAAGGGAGGGAGGGGAGAGAGAAGTGGGAGATGCTAGGGGCAGGTCTTTGGGTAGGACTTCTTCCCCAGCACACTCTCCTTCTTCATTTTCCAAATATTCTTTTTCCCTTTATCTTCCCCATGGGGTGAAGTGGGCAGAGCCTCAGCGAAATCACTGGAGTTCAACAGATCACACAAATTTGAAGGAGAGGAGAAAGTAGCCCTTCATTGCTGAACCAGTGATGGCACAAGAAGTTTATGCCACAGGGGCAGGGAAAAAGCCTGTCTTTGAAGTTCATCTGTGCTTAATATTTAGTCAAATATGCTGCCAAACTACTTAAGGCCAGATTACCTTCAGCTTGATGCAAAATCATGTTGGAACAAAGCAGCAAGCACATATTTCCCACTGACTGCTATAAGCATGGCCTTCTCTTGCCCAAAGGTACCCATCTCAACCGGGCAGGGTGGGTGCCAGAGGGTCAAACACAGCTCAGCTTCTGCTGCGGAGAGCTGACTATCTGCTCTGTTGGGCTGAGGGTAGCAAGAACCTTCCCCAGACACTGCTGGGCTTATTTTATGTGGGCTGTATACAGACCAAGCCTCTTTGTGGATTTCAATGGCACAAGTGATGCGTTAGAAAGCTGGGGAAAAGAGACTAGGATCCACCTGTAATGTGCCTTGTCTGGATTCCAGCTGCTCCGACAGAAACTGAGAAGCACTGATTATAACCCCAGCTATTCAGAACATGTGTGATTATTTATGCAAGAAGGCTGATGAAAGGCAAACTTAAAGGGGCAGATTTCTCAAAAATCAGAGTTTTGCTAAGTAAAACAAAAACCAGCCCAATGGTGTCATAAGCAGAAGCCCACGTGGGATGGGCTGTCTGCTTGTCTGTCTAGGCACTTCTTATTGCATACATCACCAGTGCGTGCCAGGACCAGATTTTCAAAAGGACTTAAGCATGTAGAGATCAATGGCAATTAGGCACTGAGGTGCTTTGCAAATCCTTCTAGGTAGATCATTGTGTGTTTGGAGAGGTAACTGCTGGTCCCTCAGCACTCTAGAGACCCTGTAGCATTCAGGTGCAGCAACTGAACTTCAAGTGATGGCTTCGGTCTTGTGTCCAGGCTGTTCAAGGATGATGAACATCCCAACTCCACCACACGGGGAAGCCCTCTCTGTCATTATTTTTCTAAATAACCCTAATATGAATCAAAGGATTAAGGCTTGTTGCTAGTAAAATACCATACAGAGAGATTCACATGTCACCTACAACCTCAGTGCAAGGCCCACATAGGAAGAGTGAAGTCTCCTTTTGCATCTCTGAGGTGGGATGCGGAGCACCTGGGGCACTATCCGGGCCAGATCATCAACTGTATTAAATGTGAGGCTAGGCTGTTACGGCCCTGGGAAATTTCTGGAGTTGTTTATTAAACCCAGGAAATTTTCTGTGGTGCCACCTGTGAATCAAACCCATAGAGCAGCCTACCACAGAGCTGAGCTGTAATCTGGCCTTTCAGAGCCCACAGTAAGAGGGTTGATTTCACCTTTAAACTCAACGCTCCTAAAACCCACCATGCTCCCTGGATGTGGTTTGGGCCAGAATAGAAGAAAGCTTAATTCTTGCAATGTTTCTAACTGGGGGCGAATTTGGAATATGCTGCAAAGCCCATCAGAGGAATCTTGCATTGTGGCTGTTGTCACATTTTTTTTTCTGTTAAGAAATCAGAGTAAATTGATTGAACCATTCTGCTGGGTTTCAGGATTTCTGCAGCTATATGATCAACTTTCTGTTCTACTCTTTTCCTGGATGCACTAAGTTTGCTGAATTAGGATGATGAATGCAAGCTTCTGCATCGATTTCCTGGTTGGGAATTAACTGGGGTTCCTCTAATGAAATCTCTGAATGTGAGCAATCAAGTATATTTGGTAACACAACTTTTTGTATGAGCAAACAAAATAATTAATCCACTGGGATCAGAGTTCCCTTGAACACCGTAAGAAAGAGCCTCCTATGACCTACAAAACAAAAGGGTTTCTTACTCTCAAACGTACTCAACAGGAAATGGAAGAAGTGTCCTTTACTTGTATCGTCCATTGCTACCATGTCACCTGCACACATGGCAATACTGTTAAAGCATCACTTCAGCAATGGGGTTTTATGCTTGTCAGTGCTAAAGCAAACCGGGCCATGACACAGACATATATGGAATTACTGTCAACAGAACAAGTTGCCATGCAGGGAAATTACACAAGGACAAGGGGAATGCTTTCCACATACTTAATGTAATTCCAAGTCAATGTCCTTTCATCTGTGCCAATATAAGTAGCTTATTACTCCTTCTAAGGCTATTCAATTTTCTTGGATATTTATGACTTTGCCAAATCTCCTTTACATTCTACACATTTATCAATGAAATATTCTGTAGGAAATATGGTTTATAGCTTCAGAGGCATGAGACTATGTACAAATTTGTTGCTAAATCACCATGCAAGAAGATGGGGCGGGGGGAAGTGAAAAGAAACAGAATTGCTCCAGCACTCTAAGTATTAAAGAATGATTCCTAAACCTAAGGAATGATTCCTAAGGCAGCACTGCAATAGGAAGGTAGCACCACACAAAATGATAGTGTGCACCAGTAAAATCTCGATGCTGACTGCATTGCGGTGCTGGCCTTTCCCATGATGACACGGACTCTTTATACTTAGAATGAGGAATACTACAGATAATGGGATAAATTTAATTACCATGAAAGATAAAAGCTTCTTGTTTGAGAACAGTCCGGCCATATCAGCTGTGTGGAGAAATATCATATACCAAACTAGTGGCATTTTGGTTTTGCAGCAGAACTAATAAAATGGCACTGAGGGTATGAATCAGGCTTTTTTTTTTTTTGTGCATAACTTACTTTCATATAAAATTGTCCCTTGGATTTGGGGCCTTTTGCCGCACATTTTTTTTTTTTCTTTTAAAACCCTTTCATGAATCTGTGTTGCTTTCCAAATCAAAGTACTTGAACACAAGGCTATAAAATAATATTATAGAAACACAGGATTCCAATTAACACAGGACTGCTCTCTTTTCATTTTGAAGTCATTTAAGGGAGGGGTTATTTTTTAATCCCTTCCTCATGAAAAGAAATGAAAGCTGCTAGGGACATAGAAAAGAAAGCAGAATGTAATGTCTAGTGAGACAGATGAAGTTTCAAGAGCTAGATATTTTTCATTAGGGAATGCATGTGGAGACCATAATGTGATAGGGTGACATTAGCATAAATAAATGATATATAGAATTGAGCCACAGATATGGTTTGTGCCATTACCCTAATGCTTGAATTAAAATACTGTGATCAGGCTTCGTTCCCTGTCTGTCCTTGTGTGCGCAAACTTACCCGGTGTTCAAAGAAAACAAGCGATGTCTACATATAACTAAGTTGATAATCCACACAGATAACTATGCTGACATTTGCCTGGGTATTGCTAGTGGTTAATTTTGATGTAGTGTGATTTATATGTATCATGGCATAATGAAAGCAACATAGAGGTAAATTTTCTTACATTTAAAAGAAACTGATTAAAACAATATGACTGGAGGAGAATTCTCACTCTGGAACAACTTTTCTAAAGTCAATTGATTTTTTTCAGATCTGCACAGGCATTATTGAGAGCAGAACCGGATTCACTAATTTAGTTTTCCATTAATGTATAATAAATGGTATCTGGGGAGTTTTAATGCTACTGATTTTGTAGCGTGACTATGGAATGGTGACTGAAGTGGCTGAATGCATGACAGTCAGAAAAAAAGAAGGGAAAATGCATCAAGGAGTTAAGTGAGATGAAGGAGGAAGGTAAAGCCAAGCCAGTTCATTAATGATGCTGCAAATTCCTGAACATGAGAACTGCACCTCTTTGCTTGATTTTGGCATATTGGTGGCACTTTATTAATAATAATAATAGACATGACACTGAGAGCTCAAGGTAAGTGCCAGGTGCATGAGGAATACAGAACCAAAGAGAGAGGGAAATGAAGTGGTTAGAAAGGTAGCAGAGCAGACAAAGGATAAGCAAGAGAGGGTTGAATACCAGCCAGAAGTCATCTGACTGCAGCTTCCTCTTTTATACTGGCAAGCAGAGTGGCAGTGCAAATAATGGAGCAAAGAAAAGGAAAAAACTTTAAATCAGCTGCATGTTTCTGAAAATGCTGTCGCCATAGCAGAGAGAAGCCTTGGAGGCCACAGAAAGACCTTTTGAGAGAGGCAAAGTGGGGTGTTTTAAGAGCATCTAGCTGACATTTGACGGCTTGTCTCTATGAGATCAAACACCACATAGGTGTACTTCATGTCTGATAATAAAAAATATATATAGCCATGTCATCAACAAATGAAAGGACATTTTATCTTGTTCCCACATGAAAATGTATGATGTCAGAACTTGAAATCCAAGAACAAAGGTGCTCATGCTACACTAAGTCACACATATTCAATTAAGCATGCGCCTTTTCTCCTCCCTGATCATCAATTATTCTTTTAAAAGTAGTCGGTTTTTCTTTCTCCCTACCAATAGTGCAGTGCTCTCCGTTCCAGCCCGGGCTGCATTCACACTTGCCATCCCGGCATGTCCCGTGCTCATTGCAGCGTGGGTGACACGCTCGCTGATCACAGGCTGTGCCCATCCATCCCTCCTCGCAGCGGCAGGTGCCTCCGACACAAATGCCATGTCCTCCGCAGTCCGCTGCACAAATCTCTGTGGGAGAGGAGAGAAGAGAGAGGAGGGGATATGGGTGGGGAGAAGGGAGAGGGGGAAAATCCAGAGTGTTATTGTTAAGAAAAGCAGCCACACTTCACTACCTCGCCTTCCAGCGCAATGAAAGGAATTCCTGGAGCTCATAACACTAATCCTTCCTGACAATAAGAATCTAATAAGTACATTACAAAAAAGAGACGGACATGGATTGCAGAGGGCTGCTGTGATTGATCCTCCTATTTGCTTTCTAAGTCTCTTGCACTCCTTGAGCTTTTGTGATCACCAAATCCGAAGGGGAAGGCTATTCCAATAAGCAGAACAAAAGTCACATTTAATTAAAATCTGGTTAAGTGTGGAAACAATGTGCTGATAAACTACTGATGCTGAAGTTAAGTGCTGGCAAAGCCTGTTTATGGCTTGTTAACCCACAGTTCTGGAGTTGGGATTCATTAAAACCCTTCTTCTCTGATAAAAATTAATATAGAATATTTGTATTTCTACTGAGTCTGCACATCTGCTATGTCTCTGTTCTCCTACCGCTCCATTAGAAATCCCCTCTCAGGCATTCGGAGGTACCACCATGCTCTTTTTGTGAGCTACATGCACCAGAGTTGATAGGATGGTGCTTGTTCCCAAGTCTTATTGGAGTTAATGGAAGCATGGAGTCACAGCTGGGCATTTTGATACTTACCTCCAAAAAAGAGAAGAGCTAAAGGACATAGGCTTTTCAGAGGTGCTGGCCTTCCCACTCTCCATGAGCCCCAGTAGGCATGAGGACACAGATACGCATAATATTTTGGCCCAGCGTGAGGCTTTTGGCTAAAACCTGGCATGCCCTTGGCATGAATTTGGGAGACTTCATGTTTTCATCTGCACTGTATTTGTCTGGAAAAATTGAGACTTAGTGGAGAACAGGTACCCATGAGTCAGATGTTAAAAAGCTTGTCACTGCCATTACTATATAGGACTGATTTCAAGGAAAAAAAGTAAAACGAAATACAGATGTGGTGTTATACTGCAGATGAAATGAAATGAATCTATTTCTTCTTCTCCAGGCTCACCACCTGACTGCTCACTTTCGATCTCTCATAAACCATGACTGCACTCTCCTCAATCAGAGGAGAGGCAATTCAGACTATATTTCAGACTATCAGGTCTTACCCCCACTCTCTGACTTCTGACTGGTGCATCTAAATAGGATCAAACTTTCCCAAATGTTTTGGACTCAAGCCTTCTGCTTGATGGAGCCATTTTATAGATTTTACAGGGTAGGGACACAGTTCCCTTTGTGGAGAGTGGAAAGAAGATGTGAACAGAAGAAATGCTGAGCAGGGCTGGGCTAGAAGCCCAGAAAGAGGTACCAGGGCACTCTGCAGAGCACATTTTCTCTCTCTTCCCCCAGATATGTACCCAAAATGAATATCTCAGACACCAACCCATCTCCAGTGCCTCTCTTTGCACTTCTGAGCATATTAAGTGTGGGATTCAGGCCTTGAGGCTTGTGGAGGGGCGACTGGTATTATACAAGACATTTACTTCAGGTCACTGGCTGCCATAAAATATTCAAAACTACTCAGCCTGCATTAACATCACACCTCACTGAAATTCAGCCTTACTTAAGTTGCCTTTAGTCTTTTGCTAATTAATACCACCAGGAACAGGAAGCTTAGGCTGTTCAGGGACTTTTGATACGCTCCTGACGTGGGGCTGGAACATCCATTTCAACTCCAGGAGGAAGGTTTTGCATCATAGGAGAGAGCTGGAAGGCCTTCAGCCCCTTAGGCTGAAATGGACTCTTGTCTCCAAGGATCAGAGAGCTCTTTAGACAATAGTAACTATGATAGCAATAATAGCAATGCTTTGCATGCCTAGAAAACACCTCATGTTCCACGTGCAACAAGAACACAATATTTAGCCTCTGCTTACTACAGCTCAAGCGGTGAAACAGTTTCCTGTTGAACTCCTTTTGCTGCAGTGTCTCGGATGTCTCCAAACACTCTCAAACATTTAGTCCTACATATTTATATCTCTAATGAAAGAACTTTGGAGTTTAAATGTGCTTAAGACACTCAGGAACTTGCCTGTCCCATTTAGAGTCAAACTGGCAAAAGTATTTGGGCACCTTGGGTGCTTAAACCAAGGATGTGCACATAGCACTTGCTGCCTAGATGTAACAGAATCTAATGTAAGTTTTATTGGAAGGCAGTAGAAGTTACGCTATCACTTAAGACACGGCTGAGGAAGGACTCCTGAGTTGCTGCAAAAGTTTTTACTTTGCATCTGGCACTGAGACACAGATTTTCACAGCTCCTAGATGCGAGGGAGGTAATATCATACTACAGTGCCCGTTATGAACAGAAGGGATGGGCAATTACCGACTTGCTAAAGGGCTGGAGCCCAGCCGTGTGTGTCTTCTACCCCCTTTCCCCAACTGCCAGACAGCACTGCCATGGAGCGTGGGCCGGTCAGGATGGGATGTGAACACACAGGACCTGCAAGTTAGCTAATGTAGCAATAAAGCTGCACTTAAAAAAAAAAAAAAATAAAAAGTTAGCTCTCCTTGGCTGACCTGACGAACCAAGTCTGGGGGAGGATAAAGGAAACAACAGATAAAAAATAAAAAGCTAGGTTTATGGTACTAAAATTTCAGCAAGCTGAGAAGAAATGCATTGAGATAGTACAAAGGCTGAGACTGCTGGTATTTAAGCCCAAACTAGAAAAGTATCATTGTAGCCTCTGGTGCTTCCCAGCAGTCTTTCACCATAGGGCTACTCTAGCGTTGGACTGAAACAGCTCCTGTGGTTATCGGTTTACATTCTTTATTCATACTTGTTGAACTTTGCACTTCAGAATACTAAGTAACATGTAATTTTTCTTGCTCCCAGTTCACCAAGCAATCCAGAGAACTCCAGCTGGGTTACTTCACATCTTCATTATGTCCTGTTCCCCAGCGTTGACCTTCAGGGTCCCATCTCTAAATTGGGGATAGCACTGGTATCCCCAAGCCCAGTGACATGCACTGTGAATAACCTCCACCACTGACTGTGAAGATCTGAAATTCCAAAGAGACAAATACCTCCAGCGATGGACAGAAAAACTGGCATCTTGGAGGACTCAGCCCCTTGCAACTCCAAAGTCCATGTGAACATCTTAAGGACTTTACTATTATTTACTTAATGTTTTATCTTTAGTTTGAGAATATTAATGAGTCTGACTGAGTACCAGTGGTTATTTTTTGACGTTAAGATGTTATTTCTGTTTTGACAGATAAAGTAAACAGGTATAAAGAAGTAAAGTGATGGGTCTGCAGGTATACATGAACTCTGTGACAGGCACAGAACCTCCTAGATGTCCTGATATCCAGTCTTGTATCCTGTCAATAAGTCAGGGAAATGACAGTAAGTCAGACATCTACAGGTTGGTGGTGCAGGAAAAAAAGCAGGGACAAAAGGAAGCTATTTTGAGTGATAGTCAGAAGCCTTCTTGGAGTTATTTAAAGGTGTAAAACTAGGATAATGGAGTGACATTCAAAAAGGGTGACGAGAGGAAAAAAAGCACTTTCTGAAAGGCAGAATCTCTGTGGAGTCGTTCCTATGAAAAGGGACGGAAAACCCACTGGGACATTTACAGCTCCACTGAAATATTTCCCAGACAACATGCTGCCAAGGAACAGTTTTGCACAAGCGGGCCAGGGACACGCACTGAATGATCTAAACCAAAGAGATCTTAGGCTAACCCAGAACGGGAACATTTTGGGTTTCATCTCCCACCCAGCTGAGACCCCAGCCATACCACCACCCACACATGCAAGAGAGTGCAGGCTCCAGCATATGAATGCCTAATTCATATATAACAGATATATAAGGTGGTTTGGATTCCCAGGCCCCAAGAGCTGTAATAAAGACCCTCAGCTGTGAAAAACACTTGTGAAGAAAACTACTTACGACAGTCTCCCTAAAACGGAGTTTAATTATTTCTGACAGGGAACCAGGAGCCAGGAACTCTCAAATCTAAATCTTCCATTTAGCTGCCAATTTAAAGATAGATGGGAACCATACAATTTAAATAGCCTTACAACACACATCCTGCTGTATGCCCTGGCCCTTTATGACATGGTGCTCTTAAATGCTCACAGGTTTCTAATGGATGATTAAATAGTCAGAGTAGCTTTTACTTTTCTGGTGGCGCTCAAAGAAATGATCAAAATGGATTTCAGATTAAGTTTCCACTTAAATATGGGTCTTTTCGGGCAGCTCAAGACGACTAAGGCTGATTTACAGAAAAGGGCAGGTGAATCGTTTCTTCGTCATTCAGTCCCAGGGACAGAATTTGCCACCTCTGTTCTTATTACAAGCTGCATTTTTTTTGGTACATTTCCCAATTCTGTTGTTAAAATTAGAGGACATGATTAGCTACCATCTGAGCTCATGAGCAAATGAGAAGGAAAGCTTTTAATTCTCCTATTACAGTATTCATAGACTGGCCAGCTGCACTATATCGCTCCTGCCTATTTAAGCCTAGTTAGAACACTGCTTGTGCATAAAAGACCTGCCTGTTAAATATTTTCACACCAGCTGTTCCCAAAAGGTGACTAAATATTTCCTTTCATCTTTAATCCCTTCCGCTGTTTGTATGAACAGCTTAGCCATTCCTTATCCTTTCCTAGAGGTGCAGTGTGTTTTACTTCATCTTGACGTGCAGCTCTCAAAGCCGCCTGTAGTTCCTTGAAGGAAGGCGATCCTCCGAGCAAATCTGGTGCCCAGTTCTAAGTGCAAATATGAGGTTTACTGTCCTCAAAAGGTACAATCAGCCCATGCACCTCTGTGGGAAATACCTGGACTTTGAGTAATACCCTGTAATTTGCTCCCTGACACTTGCACTTACCAGAGGGCACTGACGGACGTTAATAGATTCGTGGATGCAGGGTTTTATCTAAGGAGTCAAGTTCATTTCTACTCTACCATCTGGGTTTTCACCATGTTACTGTCTAGGATTGGTGT